TTTTAAGTGTGTGTGTGTGTGTGTGAGCATGTGTGTGTGTGTGTGTGTGCGTGTGTGTGTGCGTGTGTGTTACCGTGGTAGGAGATGAGCTCCTTGTTTTGGTGACACAGGATGAACATGTCGTCTTCCAGAGTGATGAAGTTCAGGTACTGATCAAACACCTGAAACAGTCAAACAGACAGAAACATGAACACTGGTCCGATGACGTGTTCGGTTCGATTCCACGATTCACACAAGTTATAGAGAAACCAGACGTGTGGTGACTGTGGCCGTCAGCGTCTCAAACTGATTTGTTTCATCTGATGAAATCACATGACGACACAGTAATCAGACTACAGACTGTAAATCAAGATGGACGACACGGCACCACTTCCTCCTGCTGTACATAATAAAATATCCTGCTAACAAACGCTGCCATCTTGTGGTGGTTGCAGAGTCAGAGTCAGCGCAGTAGCCATTGTAGGGTGGAGCCGTGGTCTCAGGGTCCTGCCCATGCAAGCTCTAAACCAATCAGGAGTCAGTGTCAGCTGTCAATCATCACGTCTCTGTTTTTATATCATAAATAACTGATGAAACCAAACTGATGAGAAACTTGAACAAACATCAGAGAGACGAGAACGAGCTGAAACGACAGAAACATCTTTAAACATTTATTTAACGTCTACTTTGACTTTTAGTTTGGTCCATGTCCCATCTGATAACACGGAGGAGGAGGGGTTATACTGCAGCCAGACACCAGAGGGCTATGGAGACACTTTGGCTTTACTTTTGGGAGCCGTCATGTCGTCCATCTTTATTTACAGTTTACTCAGACTGAGGGTTCACACTCATGAAGGAAATGATGGGCGTAACCATGGTAACCTTGGTGACAAGAGTGACGGCATTAGCAGCCAGAGCGGCACTGGCGATGTCCTCCAGTTTACTTCTACTGATGGCTGAGATGAAGTTCAGGTAGTACGACTCATACAGCTGGTTCCTCAGGTCCTACACACACACACACACACACACACACACACGGGCATGTTGAGTAGCTGACTGACAGGATTTTACACCAGGAACGTGTGTGTGTGTGTGTGTGTGTGTGTGTGTGTGTGTGTGTGTACCTGGCATATCCTGTCAATGTTCTCCTCTGTGGGCATGATGAAGTAGATGGCTGGTACATCTGGGATCGGATCTCTGTCAGAGTGTAGCAGACTACACACACACACACACACACACACACACACACACAAACACACACACACACACACACACACACAACACTTAAAAACAGCTTTCTTTTACTCAGATTGTATCTTTGAGATGATCTGACCAGAGGAGACGTTTTCTATAGATTGTGTGAAAACCGAGGTTCAGGTTGAAGGACGTCAGTGTGTGAGTCTCTTACAGGTGCAGGGTGATGCCCATGTCTCTCAGCTCCTTGACGGACAACAGCGGGGAGATGATGTCCTGACCAAACCGGTCGTATATCAGCACCTACACACACACACACACACACACGCACACACACACACACACACACACACACAATCGATAGTATTAGTATTTACAATAACGCCTCTCATGTGCTCTGATTTCTCAGTTTGAGGTGACGGTGTAACCACAGTAACCATGGCAGCCCATGTATAACACAGGTGTGTGTGTGTGTGTGTGTGTGTGTGTGTGTGTGTGACACCTTCCACACGGGCTCAGCAGCTGAGTTCTTCAGAGGAGGAGCGTTGAAGTTCAGCATCCTCTTCAGAGCGACTGCAGGAACCAACACAGAGCATCCGTCAATTCATGGTCGACATCAAACATTCTGAGCTGCACTCTCTGAGACGTCATACAAACACGACGTCATACAAACACGACGTCATACAAACACGACGTCATGTTCACTGTCGGATGTGAAGGTTAAATCTCACTGTCCTGTTCTCAATGATCGATTCATCGATGACAGGACTGTGATCGGCTCTGATGGTAGATCGATAGTTTGCAGTTGTCATGTTCTCATGTTTTCATGTTCTCATGTTCTCATGTTTTCATGTTCTCATGTTTTCCTGTTCTCATGTTTTCATGTTCTCATGTTCTCATGTT